TTTCTATTGATCAAAGGAGTGTTTCAGTCTGGCAACAGAAAGCTAGCATGGTTCATATTTTTTGTAGCTCAACAATTCTAATGCTCTCAACACTGATGTCAAATGGACCTATGCTTAATGTCCAAACAGACTTGGAAATCCATAGCAAAATGGGTTATATGAAAAATGGGTGGAATAATTGTCAGAAACGATTTAATTCTTGCTAAGCTGGAATGTTTTATGCAAACCAGGCATACAGGTTAGAATCAGGTGTGCATTCGGAGTCATTTTTGGAGGGATCTGATTAATTTAGTTGAGCTACTTCATTCACACAAATTGCCCCAAACAGCCATTAGAGATAAATACAGATTTAGGGATGTATTATAATTAAGCGAAGACAGGAGACAAGGAGAGTTAGTCTCGATTTGGACATCCTGTTTTAGGTGAAATAGCTGTTGGCACATACCATATTCCAGGTCGAGCAGACAGGTTTGACAGACATTCTTCAGCTTGCTGCAGGTCTGGCATACTTCTGTCTTTTTAAAGCGCATGCGAACGCCGGGGCACCAGCGAAACACCGTGAAGGGCCTGGCACAGATCTGAGACAGAGAAAGTGGCAATTTGCATCACGAACACTGGCATTCTAATTATTCCAGGAAACTCCAACCCTAACAGGTGCCCCATCCCTGCCAATCATTTGCCTAATTTCAACACTACAATTCCAGCTAAAAAAAAAAAAAAAAAAAAAAAAAACTTAGCTCAAAAAGACCTTTCTTGAATTCACTAAATTGTCAGGAGACATTTTGGTGGGATTTGCTTGCAATGATTTGAAAGTTCAAGGCAGCCTTGTTGGAGCATAAGGCAAGGAAGTGTTCAACTGTACTCCAGAAGTCACTAAAATCCGGTCACAGGAATTCAGGCCCACCCAAAGCAGGACGGCCCTACTGTGGAGCAACGTGTACTGTCTGTGCCAGGGGGATGTACTTGCTTTCACCATATGCAGGAACTGTAGTGGGAGAGGCGGATCTCAGGGCACTAGTTGTTCTTGACTGAGATTATGGCTGGCTGGAGGAAACAATGTATTTCAACTCCCCCACTAGGTTGCTACCAGACCTTATGTTTCCAAGGGACAGCACTAAGAGTCCTGCTTTTCTTCTTTTATGGAAGCTATTTCTTGCATATAGAATCACACAACATTAGGGTTGGAAGGGACCTCAGGAGGTCACCTCTAGTCCAACCCCCCCCCAAAAAGCAGGACCAGCCCCAACTACACCATCCCAGCCAACGCTCTGTCTACCTGGGTCGTAAAAACTTCCAAGGATGGAGACTCCCCAACCTCTCCTAGGTAACCTGTTCCAGTGTTTTACCCCTCTCCTAGCGAGAAAATTCTTCCTAATATCCAAACTAAACTTCCCTCGCTGCAATTTGACACCATTGCTCCTTGCTCTCTCATCTGCCACCAGTGAGAACAGTCTAGCTCCATATCTCTAGGTCCATATCTACCATGGACCACTGGAAGGCAGAGGCATTACAGTGATTTATAGGAAATCTGCACTCCATCTAGCATGTTCCCAAGGGTAAAGTGAGCAGGAAGTAAACCTGCAAGAAGGAAATGCTAGACTGGGTGACATACATGCAACAAAAACCCAGTACAGTGCAACCATGCTGTGCTGTTGCCTCTTTTGATGATAAAGTAACTGATAATTGACATATGTTGAAGCCATTTTGAGGGCTCTTTTCTTTTTTCACTCTCTCCTTCCTACAAAACGTGCATTATTACCTTTCCTTCAAATGCCAAAGAGCCAAACCCTGCATCCTTTAGCATCAGCCTAGGGTTTCTGTGGGGTTCTAAGGAGCATGTTTGAACGCAACACCACAATCAACAAGGCAATGAGAAACACAGATAACTAAGCAATAGATGCCACCAACAGAATTATGGTTTATCTGACAATGTCTTTTTCACATCTTTCTAAGTTCCACATAAGAGAAGGAAGTTTTACAAAGTCAGCATATATTTATAAAAATACTTTTTCTTGACAATCTATTTTATATTTGCAGTGAAAGCCATTTTTGTTTGAGTGCAATTATTTTCTTGCAGAGTTTGAAACCTAAATATCAGAGTGTCCTGCTATCCCAACAGAGGACAGCCTAAATGGTGAAAAAAGGAAACAGACCTAAGCCAATCCTGAGAACTAGTCACCTATAACTTTACTCATGTGAGAAGATCTACTGATGCTGATGAACAAATCGCATGAGCAGATTTACTTTGCACAATTGGACTATTAATGCATTCGTATGGTTAAGCACATACTTTGGCAATTTCCATCCAAGACTGGAATCTCTCTCAGAAACTAACCTGCGAGTACAGAAGCCAGCTCCTAAAATAAAAATAAACCCAAAAAACTTACCTTACACTCCTTTCCATATTTCTCTTTGGTCTGGAACAAAATAAAACAATTAGTAAAAAAAAAAAAGAAAATAAAATGACATAATAACAATTTAATGCTAAGATCCATAGATTACAGAGTCGGAAGGGACCCAATGGATCATCGTGTCCGAAAGGTTATCTTGCAAGGCATCCCTCTCCCACGCCCTACTGCTTTAATCTATTCCACCCAAACGTGCGTATGCCTCGTTGCCCCAGATAAGGCACGTTTTCCTTCTGCTCAGGTTGCATTTGGAGACACCTCGCTCGTTATTTTCACTGTATCAGCATGTCATCACAAGAAAAATGACACCAAACACCTTTCAATTTTTACAGCAGTATTCAACACAATGCTTAAAAATTTTTCAAAGAAACCTCTCAAGTCTGTCTTGGGGCTTTTAATGCTCGTGGTCAGCCATCGCAGATGCATAAAATAAGAAAATAAACCCATTCTCCGTGTCTGGAAAAAGACCACGATCGCGTTCACGATTAGCACGTTCGAATCCCGTGAAGACCCAAGACGTGCGCCCTCCTCATTAGAGACAAAGGTGTGCCGATTTCATCTCATCTATCAGATTCAGCCAATAGTTGTCATCGTTTCATAGCTGTTAGGGGCTGCAAGGGACGTTTCGGGGGGTCTGATGGCGACGCCTCCCCGGCCTCGTCCCCGTTTGCGGGCATCTTGCTGCCTGGTTCACTCAAGCCGACGCTGACATCCTCTGGACCCGCGTTTCACATTAACAGACGCACATTAAAAGCCCTGGACCTAGACCACATGGCAGAGGCGATCTCTTTTGTTAGATCAAGAGGGTTTTGGGGTTTTTTGTTGCAAAAATGTAGTCGGTCCTAATCAAAGGCGTCACCTCTACGCCAAGACGGCTACAGCCCGGGGACCGGTCACGTACCATTCGGATGTAGGGGTTTTCTCCGAGGCATGTCTGACACAGGATGGGGAAGTCCTGCATCAAAGGAGGCAAAAAAACCCGAAATAAATAAATCAAGTCAGGACTAAACATCAGAGCTCGTGTCTAAGCTGCTGCTCCCATCCCTGCCAAGGCCCACAAACCACCCGACCGCAGCACAAGGGGTAAAGGAGCCCAGTGTCCGACCCAAGCCCTGCCAGGCCTTGCTGGCTCCCCCCCAGGAGCAGGCCTCAGGCCGGCAGCAGGCCCCTGGCTGCCCCCAGCCCCCCCTGGCAAGGCCCAGGGGCGGGGGAGGGGGGCCGAGCCCCAGGCAAGGGCCAGGGGAAGGGGAGGGGGGCCGAGCCCCAGGCAGAGGCCCCGGGCGCCGCCCTCACCGCGTCCTCCCAGTTCTGCCGGTTGTAGGTGTTGGAGCCCAGCGACGTCGCCATCTTGGAGCCGGCGCCAGCAGCCACCGGAAGTCAGGGCCCCGCGCGGGCAGGAAGTGCCACCCGCGCCGCTCTTGCCTTCGCCCGACCATAGAGAGGAGCCGTCCTCAGGCTCCCTTCGCTCCCGGAAGGGGTCGGCGCCTCCCGGAAGTGGCCCGGTCTGCCCCGCCGGAAGTGGGAGAGACCACTCTGTCCCGCGGCGGGGGCCGCTGGCGGCTCCAGAAGTTTGCTTTTTGCTGTTATATGAATGCATTTATTAATAAAGTCGTTAATAACATTATTATTATTTATCCATTAAAATAAACATTATATCTATTAAATTAATAAATTAATTACATTACGATTAGATTATGAATTTAATATAGGAATTAGATTAATATTAATAACTAATAACCATTAATAATAAACTAAATGTTTATTAATTAAATTAATGAATTACTGTTAATTATATTACAATAAACTATGAATGTAATGTGAATTAGATTTGGGGTTATTAATAACAATATCAGTAACTGTCAAAATATTTATCAATGAAATTAATAAATTACTGTTTATGTTAGTTAATTATATTAAAATTAAAGTATGAATTCAATGCATTAAATGTTCAGCTATTAAAATATTAATATTAATAAAGTTATTATCTATTAAAAGAAACATTGTCTCTTTAATAAGTTGCTGTTAATTAATTCTGTTACAAGTCAATTTTGATTTCATACATTAAATTCATTTTTGGCTGCCACTCACTTTGCATCTCGTGGTAGAGGTGATCTCTTTTATTAGACCAGCTAGATTTTTGCAAATAAATGTGTCTTTGTTTGTAAGATTTTGGGCACAAGCAGCCTTCAGGCATAAGAGTTTTAGGGGGTGCCCCGAGGTTGAGACCTAAAATTATAAAAATGAAAGGCTTCATGCATATTTGGTACAGCGCTGCCAATTGCTGAGGAGGCAACGGTTTCTTAGGGCGATGCCTCATTTCTATGGGATTAGTTGCATCATCTGACAAATGTTTCTCATCCAGAAGTGGTGGGGCACAGCATCATCCAGTGGACAGTACCAGCTGTGTCAAAGCAGAAGCAGAAGAAACTTTTTGTCAAAGTTTAGCTGTAAAAAATGTCAAGCGAGCCGAGCTGAATTTAGCCCGTATCATTAAGAAATGGAACAGCAAGTGTGAGTTTCCCTAGTGTCCTCCGAGGAGGAAGGATGGTTACATTGCTCTTTAATACTGTTCTTGAATAAAGGTAACAAAACTAGAGCCAACATTGTCCGCTTTATTTATTTCAAATTCACTACATGAAGTTAAGCAATAAGGCAACACAGTAATCTGTCCTTAGTGGAGTCAACATCAATAAAGGCAGAGTGCTTCCACTGCTCCCCGTGGGAACAAATGAGATGTTTCTGCACAAAATGCACGGAAAACAGCTAAAGTTACTCCTATTTGCTATAAGCTGATCAAAATAAAGAAATTCACTGGATTAATTAAACTGTTCAAAGCCCATGTGCCCTACATTTTCAAACTAGCAAGTTAGAACCAAGTTACATCTTCTCTCGCATTAAAAGTAGTTTTAATTAAGAGTTGCAGAACCTCTCATGTGCTGTAATCCCCAACAGCAGCGCATTCCAAGTTCTTTAGTTAAAAGTAGAGTTGCCTTTCCTGACTGCAGCATGAAAATCTCACTCAGTCAAAAATATAGTTTGGGTAAGATTGATTTTTTTTTTTAAATAGTTTGTGTTGCTAGTTATTTTGGTCTCTAAAAGAACCCATGACCAAAGCTTTGAAGTGTTTTGTTATCTAGTAAGGTAAGACAGCCGCAGACACTAACACTATACGCTGAAGAATAAATACTCGGCTAAACTTTGTAATCTCATGCTGTACATCTGTGTATTAACTATGCAAACTTGTAAACATGAAGTTTCTGCTCTGAGACCCACCAGACAGACTAGCAAATAAGGCGCTCTCCCTTCCCAGAGGCTGTCAAACCATATTCAGCTCAATCACACACCCTGTGGACTCATGAAGGTTGCAGTCCCTGTTTGACCAAAAAGAACTTTTCAGCTGCACCCCAAGATGCCCTAAAATATTACATTATGATTTCACTAAGATATAAATATACATTCCCCCCATACAGATGTGATACACCTTATACTAAACAGTAGAGTCATAACAATATTATCCTCACACAGCATGAAACTAAATAAGTGGCCTTCAGACCCTTCACAATATCACCAGGTTTCACGGCAGAGCACCAAGAACAAAGTATTTTGTACACCTGCATTTGTTTCTCGAAGAGATATTTAGCAGGTTGCCACTTGCAAGTGAAAAAGCAACTGAAGTCTCTGTAGGAAGTGGAGTCCCGAGTTGCCTACACTGTAATACTAGCTACTGGTACTGGTGGCACGTTACATCCAGGGTCAAGGACACGATGCCATTTGTAACTGTTTTCAACTCAAATTCATGGCCAGATGATACTTTACGGAAGCAGATGCATTATCTTGAAATGTTTTTACTTCTGAAGTGCTTGACTAACCTTTTCTCCTAATGTGTTCTGCTCAAGCTCACTTTTCCTCTGCCACTGTGCCCACTCCTAACTCACCTCAAGGAGGTCCTACGTACTTTGAAACTATAAACTTAACCATCAGTACTTCTTATTCTTTGGTTGACTCCCTCATTAAAAGAACCCTTGAGTGTGAAGACAGCCACTCAGTCCTTCAGTCGTGCCTTTGCTTCAATAACTGTAGCAGCAGCAGCTTCATTCCAATGACCCTCTCAGCTCCTGAAGTATCATGCTTTACCACACATTTTCCAATAGAAAAGGCTTCAAATGGCACTAAGTAGAACTCAAGCCCACAAGAGCTACAGAGGACTATTCTTTAAGCTAAGAGGCAAATGTTTCTTTAAATATCAAAGATCCCTTGCTTTGTCCTCCTGTAAACTACATAGGACATGTCATTTTTTTCATATAGTTATACCCAAGTGCCCAGGGAAATTTATTAAGTCAACGAGATCTACCAGGAAAACAAACTAGTATCATGCTGATGCCACAGGGAGTTGCTGTTTGAGAAGAGCCCTGGAATGTTTGCTAAAGGACTGCACGCTCTGCTATAGAAAGGAGGATTAGCTTTGTTGTGCATTTAAGACTAGTTTGGTGGGCCTGGCATGGAGAATAGGAAAGCCAGAGCAGGTTTTTTTTCCTGTTGGTAAAGCTAACGTGACTTTGGCCAAGTAGAGTGCAGATCTAGAGGCTTTCTCTGTGCTCAGCTTTGTGCTGCAAGTCAAACAAGCGTGTGTTGGTGTGGCGATACCACGGATTCGCATAGTGGGCATCACGGCGAGAGAGAGAGAAGAATGCATTGGCTGAAAGTGGCTTCCTTCCCCCTCAGCCATGCAGCCTCCTCCTCTCTTGGCTTGAATTTGTAGTGCGTATACACGTGGCAAAGGAGGCTTCAGAGCATTCCCCAGGGTATTCTCTCACTGTGACCGTCTGTCCAGTGGCCAGCTTTTGAGACCCAGCTGTCAGGCGCCTCTTATGGGAGCATGGGGCCAAGGCTGAGCTCTACGTGGTGGGTGAGCCAGATGACCTCTGAGCTCTGATCGCCCTCTTCGCTGGGCCGGATGGGAGCAGCGAGGTTTTTGAACTCGTGCTTCATCTTAAAGCTCACGGTCACTTCACCCTCCTCCTTCTGTGGAGTGACCTTGATGAAAACTCCCACCTTGTTGGCTTTTCTGAAGGCAATGACACTGCAAGGTAAGGGACAGTGTCATCATCCACTCTTAGTGGCACCACACCAACTTTTGGGTTATTTTTATCACTCTGCATAATTATACCATTACTACAGGCTGTAAACTTTGCAGGAAAAGCTAGCGCAGTTCTGCTGATTACACGTAGTAACAGAAGCCCCCTCCAACAGCTGTCCTGGCACTAAGCAACCCAGAGAGAAACAACAGTTTCTAGAAGGGCCCCCAGTACAAACAAGAAACCAAAGCTCTGCACCACTCCAGCTTGGTGGAAGCCAACGTGACAGGAAAGCATGAAGTACCAAGTATATTTGGGACCTGATCTCTGAGCAGGAAAAACTGAACACTCACTCAGGGTCATCCTGGAAATCTTGAGGTTCTGCTAGCTCATCATACTCTGCTGCAGCATCTTTCCCAGCTAGAATTAGCTCCTTGGGAGGAACTGCTACCTGCAAAAGAGCATGGCAAAAGGGTGGGTTTCAGTACTGCCTCCTGCTCATGGATCATGGGCCAGTGTAGACTAGACTTCACAAGGAAGCATCTGTTCAATGGATACTGCAGTGGGAGGAGGAAAGAGTCCTGTGGTGTTCTTCCATTCCTTACATTTCCTCCTCGCTCATGCAGAGGATCGCTATTACACTTCTCCCCTGGATTAGGAAGTCACCTTGAGCTACACAGCTCTTCGAGGTGTTTTACAAAAAGTTCTCAGATTTTATGATTGTAACATTAATGCATTAGGTTTAAGACCCAGAAGAAATGTCAAATGGCTGCTATAGAGGCTGATGTAAATGAGCCCCTCTGTTGCAGGAAGAGTTGGGCATTGTCCAGCCCAGCATATATGAAAGAACAACATTTTGGACAAGGGACAAGTTATCAGCTTGTGAGGCAAGAGGACACAATACCTTCGCAGTGCTGTTGATGTCATCGGGGTCTCCCTCCTCACACTCCATGAGCGTGACATGGATAATGTTTTCCACTGGGTTGGTCAGAGTCAGAAGAACTTGACTCTCCTGGTTAGATATACATGGAAGCATACACAGTTAGGAACTTGTTACTCTGGGAAAACTTTTTTTTTTTTTTTTTAAACCCTTAACCCTCAGCTTTAATAGAGCTCAACTCAGACCAGGAAACATCCTCAAGACTGGGTCATTAGCTTAATCAAGAGCTATCAAAATGCTCCAATGATTGCTACTGTCCATCCTCCTCATGGTAGAGGAAATGCCGCTACTGGAAATCTAATTCACCTCAAGGGTTAGTTATTGTACAGGACTGAAGTGTGCGTTAGGAACCTACTCCAGTTCCTAACAACTACACTGTTTATTCCGGACTGATCTGCCTGTGGAGTTCAGTGTGATGAAGTCATCCACTTGCTCACAGTGGAAAGACTACCATCTCCAACTCCCCTCACACCAAGAAAAACACTAACTCTTGGCATAAGGGACGGCAAGATCTTCTTCGAACTGCGGCCACTGCTGTTAGAGCTACTCCAGGTATGGTAAGAAAGCTAATGCCATCACAAGCCTCATTCCTTATTTTACACACAAAAATATTGAAAGACATCTCAGATCCACATTTCACCTCTCCTTCCCTCCCCAAGTTGTATTGGAAAAGAGAAGGACTGACCTTCATGTAGCGCAGGTTGGGTATAGACATGATCCTCACCTCAGGGATGTAGTTGCTACAAATGAAAACAAAGCAAGTGACAAACTCCACCTCACCTGCTAATCACCTCTACTCTGCTCTTTACAGCTGCAATCAGGAGTAAAAAATACCATCTACTTTACTCACTCCACACTTCAGTTACAGATAACAAGGCACTGGAGCTACCCCAACCTAATGATAACGGCCGCAAATTTTTTCCCCAGACTGTTCACATCTTTCAAAAGCAATGTTTTTTTTGTTAAGCTAAAACGAAGAGTGGAATATTAAAGAATGAATGTTGCTCTAGCAAATTTTAAAAGGGAACTACGCACAATGACCCACTGCTATACAGCACATTGCTGAAAGGGCTCCTTGAGATGTCGCATAGCACTGACCGCATAATGCCTACCCTCCAGGTAACTTAAAAACACAGGTACATAGTAATTACCCCTGGAAGTAACATATTATACTTGAACCCCGTTTGCATTACGACACTAGTACTTGCTTCTATAGTGCCAATTTATACATATCAGGTCAACACGTATCTGGATGTGCATATGAAAACCCGATTGGTTTGGCATAGCTGGTGCCTGTAAACCTACTTCATTTTTGCATTCAATAGTCTACTAGCTAGAAGATTTTTCCCGTTCATTAGTCTACTAGCTAAAAGGTTCTTCAGAAAAGTCGTACATGAGCTTCTACACGTGAGCAGCCCATGTTAGTAACTAAGTTATTTTTTATGCTCACTATTATTTCTAATGTTTAGAGAACAAGAGAGTCAGAAAACATGAAAAGGCAGTGTTTTAACTAAGTTACACATACTGAGAGACTGCCATCCTCATCTGATCATTCCCAGCATACTTACACAGCAACCAGCTGTATTTTGAATTTGATGGAGGTCGGGTTGAACTCTGGTTTGCTCAAATTATGTTCACATTTCTAACCAAAGAGGAAAAGACGTATTAAATCACCAGAACAAGCATAGTGTACCGCCACCCCCAAAGAGTCAGAGCTGCAAACATCCTAGGCTGGGCATTCAGTATACTAACTTCATAGCCATAGCATAGACACGGTCTTGAAGTGAATCTAGACACTAGATACACAGAATTTCAAGTCCTGGTGCTACCACCACAAACCTGAAAGCCTAACTGAGGGTTATATATATATATATATATATATTTTTTTTTTTTTTTTTTTAAGGGATTTATGCACATGCTGATTTCAGTGGGAGTTTGGTTCTCAAGTGTCCTTATAAATCTCATTCTTTTCATACCCTCTCCCCTTCAAAATTACTGTTAGACATGCAGCTTTACGAAGCTGCTCTTGTGCAGTTGATTACTCACCCGACAGCGCAGCGAGCGTTTGATGAGGAGATGCTTGTGGCGTGGGTAGAGCTGGGAAGCGCAGATCGGCTGGAAGTCAGGCTGCAGCAGACGCTGGTGCAGTGTCGTCACTGTGCAACGGCGGGGAACAAAAGTCAAAACTGCAGTCACTGCTGCAATGTTCAGAGAACCCAATAACTGTCCCCTCCCCACAAAACTCAGGGTTTCCCAGGTGCACAAGGCTATAAAACTATGCACAATATGAGCACAGCCCAAATCTTGTTTGCAATGTGACCTCAACGACAAGCAAAAAAAATAAACCCCCAAAACCCAAGATGGACATCAGACATCTAAAGCCGTTCCGAAATCAATTCAGTCTAAACAAGGGGAAGCACCTGATCACTGCCATGGAAATCAATTCACTCTCTCAGGGCAAAAATAACGTCCATAGGTCCACTGTTATCCCAGCTGTGGAACGCTGCACAAGGCAGGAGACGTGACCTTTTATCTAAGGAGCATGGCTGAAACCCATTCCCCAGATTAGTAAAACAGTATATTCCCCAAACATCAGCTTTCATGGACTAACATGGGTGGGTGTTGTAGATCTGAAAGGACAGAAGGTCATCATTCAACACAATGCGGTCCAGCAGCATACTCAATCCATGCGTTGTCTGGGCCATTATAGATTATGCTGTTTTCTCCCACATTTTCTCAACCAGTTTACAAAGTGTACCTTGAGTAGCAAATGACCACCTAAATGCACCGAGGATATAAACAGGTTGTTTGGAACGAGGTCACAAATAGCTCTCACTCACTAGCTTGATTAACAAATCCTTTTATAAGAGCCAGCTATTTCTCCTGCTTCTTCTTATTTCTGAAACAAGGATATCAGCTTTCTTCCCACACCAAATATTGTCACTTCAGGTGCTATGCAAATTAAGCCAATGGTGACATCTAGTCAGGAAGGATTTAGGAAAACATTAAACACCTGTGAGTTGGGAGATTGTGGTTCCAGTTTTTGTCTAGTTAACTGGAAGTTTAACCTCTGTTAAAGTTTGTTTTTTTAACAAGGAATTGGGTGAGCAGAGCACATGAAACAAGCCAGAGTCCTATGCCATTACCCTCTGTTAGATTTATAGGTCTTGTGTAGTAATCCTCAGGTAGGGGTTCCACTTCTTCTACAGCATCAGCTGGCTCAATCTTTATCTCCTTCTGGTCCTCTCCTTCCTTGAGGCTGAAACAAGCGTGAAGAGAAGTTGGAGTCATTAATTACAGTACATATGCAGTAATCTGACTAAGAAAAACTGAAGTGTTAAGCATCTGATTATACCCACAAAATAAAAAAAAATGCTGAAAGTCCAACTCGCCATACTCTATTTTACAGAGTAACCACCTTACATTAAACTCAGTGCAGAGATCTCTCTAATATGGAGCTGCAGGAGGGTAGGTTAAATAATGAACAGCAGCATGGAGATCCTTACTCCATCTGTTCGTAGCAATGAATGCACTGCAGCTCTTTTCATCTCTCCAGAGATGACACCATCTCTGTGATACTGGGTGACAATTTTCCATCTTTCTGAACGTGCCCTTCCATTTTCATAGCTACCACTTTATACTCCCCTACTGAAAATGGGCCACGCTTTGAAAACTCACGAGAGTCCAGCGAGAGCACTGATGGGCGCTCCAGACCTCTGACGCTGGAGTCTGGTTCCAAGGCCATATTTGTCCTGCAAGGAGAAAAATGGTATCAGCAAATCCAGCTCTATTCTGTCAGGACAGAGGCCTATAGCAAGCTTGTCCCGCTGAGCATGACAAGCACAGAGAGCCAAGCAAAGGAAAGCAAACTGAAAACGGGTCTCTCTCTACTCAATCGCTGGCAGATGGTCTTGATCATCTTATTAGTAAAAAAATAAAACAGAGGGGCAAAACAGATTGTCCAAGACCTGGAAAGCTACAATTCTTTATGTAAATACCAAGCTAAAGAGAGGGCTACCATTTAGCACACAAAATGGTCCGCTGGTATATGCAACCTGTATTGTTGTCTGGACCTTTATATTTTATAGTATTGTATTTTACTTTATATTCTATGCTACAATGTGCTCAGTCTGGCGTCACTCTTCACAAGTCGCTTACTAAATGATGGGCCAGCTACCTAAGGACATGGGACAACAGTTGCACATCCCAAACTAACACGCTTTGTGTTGCTGTTCAAAGCAGATGGAGACAGCGGAACTCAGCTTGAGACCCTAGCTGATATGGGACTTGGCTGCTGAAGTCTACTCATCTTTCTTGACACCACCTCAGCTGAAGAACAGCCGTGGTGATCACTGACTTGACAGATCTGAATTGGAGGCAGGGGGCTAAAAAGGTGATGGCCAGAGTTATCTGACTGAAGAACTAGCTTTCAGAGCTTCAAAAGGAAGTGGCAAGTGTCCGATCCTATTAGACACTACTGTATTTGACTTGGAGCTAAAATATGAGGTTCTCCCACCTAACAGGCTGGGCTTAGTCAGGAGATAAATATTGCTGATATCCTTCTTGGACAGCAGCGTTGGCCTACGTGGGAACTGCCTTGCTTTATGAAGTTCTATTTTTTCCAGCAAATGTCATGTGCCCAATGATCACAGCAATTAGCTGCTTATTAAAATACCAACTTGTTAAGGAGTTTCAAAACAGTGTCCCTATCAGAGGGGTTGGACTATAGGTCTATCCAGGTCCAAGCTCCTGGGCAAGGAAGGGGGCAGGCTACTGGCATGGGAGTGGTTTCAGGGTCTTTAACAAGGGCTTTAACACTAGCAGAAACTGTGAAGAGACTTACCACTACATGTATAGTATGTTGCTGTGGAGCCCCCAAAATAGCAGCAGGTGGCAACGGAGACAAAAAAAATGCAGCCATAAGACAAGAGCAAGTGCATAGAGCAGGCTGGTTATGCATATTTAACCAAAAAGTAGCGAGCGTGTGCAGAGTTATCCTGCTAAATGAAGCAAGCTTCTCAGTGGCCAGGACAACAAATGCTCCTTTCAGGTTGTGATAAAGCCATAAGCTCAACTTCAGTGAAGACTTTCAGCAGGTAGCCATATTGCACAAACCCTGATTTAGAAGGACAGTTAGCTAGCACTCCCGACCGACAGCAGGGAATCATCGCTAGAAGCTTTGGTATCCTGCCAATTCTTCCTCAGGTACTTGTTCTGCCTAACTTTCCATGCCACCACCTTTAGAGTTTAAAGGCATGGAGATTCTTTCTATCCCTGAACACTGGCATGTTACAAAGGTACATAGTGAATACAATGTCCCCACACCAGAAGTGGCTGCATTTCAGTGCTGGGCAGGACAATTCCCTTGTCAGGAAGTCTTATAAACTAGAGATTATTAAATGCTGGGGCCGGGAACTGACGATACCACAGGCCACCAAATCTTCCAAACCAGTGCATGCTGCAAAAGCTGCTGCAGTGGCCCCGTCCTTTGTATACTGAGGGCACCACTGTCCCAGCTCACCGAAAAGGCCAGCGGCATATAGTTTCGGCGTCGCACCAGCTTCTTGCGGTCACGCTCAATCTTCTCTTTCTGAGCCAGCTGCTGGTAATACTCAACCAGTTTGTTAATCTGAAGGGGAGGAAAAGATGAGGAACAGATACTCTCTTTAAAAAAAATAAAATGCTACTGACAGGCCCACAGCATTCCTCTGCCAGTGGGGTCTGCCTTCCTGCAAAATGTTTCCTTTCACTACTATTACTGGCCCTCTCTTTGAAAGCAGCACAATGGAGAAGCACAGAGGTCTCTCACTCTAACCAAGCAATAGAAAACAGGCTGATACCCCCGAGGCATCTCTTTTCACAGACCAATCCCATCACAAAAAAACCCCGCAACCCCCAACTTCCCCCTCCCAGCCCCTGAAGGCTTTGAGACATTTTGTTCAGGCCACTGAGTGGGGCGCACACTGCTCTCCACATTGCCCAGCCATTAAAGAGCAATTTAGAGTAGAGGTACAACTGACACACTCTCTCAAGGACCAACCGGGTTTAATGCAGAGCCCTGTGGATATGCATTTCATTATTAGCATCTATTTTCTGGAGGGTAAGGAGAGCCTGTGACCTAGAAAAGGGAATGACCAGAAAACAATCTTTGTTCACATAAAGAAAGTGTTTGTCTAACAGCCCGCCCATTAATTAAAATGCAGTCTGCCAAAGTTGATACAGCCTTTCATTCTTCCAAGGCAGATTCAATTCTTTGGAGTTGTTTTTGCTGGCAGGACTTGTAGAAGCAGCCCACAAAAGCACAGTTAAATTTGCACTGTCATTGGAGACTCATGGCTTTTTCCATAAGGGCAATAGCTTGCCCTTCATGTTTCCCTTGGCACCCATGTTCTCAGTGGTGACAGATGACAGAACTAGGAGCAATGGTCTCAAGTTGCAGTAAAAGAAGTTTAGATTGGAAAAGTTCTCTCACTAGGAGGGTAGTAAAGCACTCAAATGGGGTACCCAGAGAAGTGGCGGAGTCTCCATCCTTGGAGGTTTTTTAGGCCTGGCTCAACAAGGTCTTGGCGGGGATGATGTAGCTGGGGCTGGTCCTGCTTTGAGCAGGGGGTTGGACTAGATGCGACCTCCTGAGGTCCCTTCCAACCCTCATTTTCTATGATTTTATGACACGTGGAACTTGTCAGCTGGGGTGGTATAGTGGCTGTCTGTATGGCAACTCTTCAAGATAAGAGAAGTTCTATATAACATGACACATCTGCGCCAGGATTGGACACAGGATCTGCTGAATACAGCCAAGGCACTGATCTTATCAGTGCATGTGACTGGAGCTGGTTTCCCAAGACACAGAAATGCACTGATCTAAGTAAGCCAAACCCTTCAAGAGTACCCCCCTCCCAGTTAAATGCAAGTGTTCTCCCTTCCCCCCATACTTGCCCTTTGAGAATGTGGATTTTCTGGCTCCTGCCAACCGCCACTGGCTGCAAGATAAAAAAAATACCAAAGTCCTCAGAAGTTTGATTTTATATTCCATGTAAATCAACCAACAAAAATGGCTCAGAAAGCTAGTCCTGAAAGTCAACCAGGTGCTTTCTTTGCCAAACATTAAAATAAGAAACCGTAGGACTGCTACCAAGAACATTAAAGATAGTATGATGTACTAAGCTGAAATACTGGAAAGATCCTAGAGCTTCACATCTAGCCAAGTTGCATGCAACACTACTCACACCAAGCCTCCTGGAAAAACAACTAATCAGTGTTTATACTGTTTGAAAATACAATGGTCTATTTGTAATAATCATTCACCTATAATCATTATTCTCTGCAGCAATAAACCCAGCTGCTGGTCTTTGTGTTTTTAGAGCAAACATATTTCAGAAACTAAATCCTTTGGCATTCCT